ATCAGCAAGGGAGATATGAAAACCTCCCAATGGGTCTGCTCTGAGAAGTACTGAGTCCCAAGCGAAAGTCTGACAATCCTGACGAAAGCGTTCAAAATTGGAATTGCTGTAAATCCTGCCAAAATTGTTCTTGTCGGATAAGGAAAGACACTTTAATGGAATATTAGTCAAAATTGCACAGTGATCCCATGAACTTGAGTCAGAGACACTGCAAGGAATATTATATGTATATACATGTCGTTTTAGAACGTCTTTCTTCGTTGTCCGACCCCTAATTTCCATCCTCTTCTATCGTCGCAATCCTCTGATGAGAGATTTCTTTCACCCATGGACTTTTGTATGGTCTTCTGCCATTCCAGTTTTGGTCTTCCTCGTTTTCTTCTAGCTGTGGGTTGCCAGTGCAACATTTTTTTCGGCCTGTCATTTGGCATTCGTTTTACGTATCCGTACCAGGTAAGTTGTTTCTTTTCAATGTCCTGGACTATCGTACCTTCTATACCCATTTGTTGTTTTATATTGTCGTTCCTTATTATGTCTCTTCGTGGGATTCGCATGGATCTTCTGATAGCATCCATTTCAACTGCTTCCACTTTTTTCTTTTGTCTGTCTGTAATTCTCCAAGTCTCGGCTCCATATAGAAGGCTGCTCATTATCATTGTCTCGTATATATTAAATTTTCTCTTCTTTGTAACTTCCTTGCTCCATAATATTCCATTTAGGCATCCTATTACTTTTTTAGCTTTAACTATTCGTTTTTCTATTTTTTTCACGTCTGTTCCGGTGTTGTCGAATGTGATACCTAGATACTCATATTTTTAACATTGCAGAATTTCCTGACCATCGTCCACTTCCAAGTTTCCGTTCTGGTTGCCTATACATAGATATTTTGTTTTATTTATATTAATTCTCAGGCCCCATTCTTGATACTCTTCTATCAGCTTTCTAATCATATATTGCATGTCCTCTTTGTCACTGGCCACTATGACCTGATCATCTGCAAACTGAAGAGTAAACAGGCACCTATTATTTATCTCTATACCCATTCCATGGATCTTCCTCTTCCAATTTCTCAGTGCTACTGTTACGTATATTTTAAAAAGCGTAGAAGAAATACAACATCCTTAGTCCTTTATTTACTATAAATGTGTCTGTGAGTTTTTTACCTATCTTAAATCTTGATTTTGATATAGTTCTTGTGCCGTTATGTAGGTGTGATTGATGTTTGTGTGTTCTAATACCTTCCATAGTCTGGATACTGGGACTGTATCGTATGCTTTTTGTAGGTCAACAAATGTGAGGTGGGTTTCCAAATATCTAGCAGATCTCTTTTCTATGACTTGTTTTAGGCAAAATACGTTGTCCGTACCTGATCTTCCTGTTCTAAAGCCGCACTGCTCTTCTTCTTCCTGCTCTTTATAATCTTCTTCAATGAGATCACGCAGGATTCTACCGTATAGTCTGCTCAGTGTGCTTGTGACTGATATGCCCCGATAGTTATTGAAATCCAGCTTATTTCCTTTTTTGTGAATGGATGATATAAAAGCCGTTTTCCAGTCTTGTGGAACAGGATGTCCATTTAGGCATTTATTGATAATACATGTGAGACCTTTGAAGAGCTTCTCAGTTCCCCATTTCAGCATTTCTGAGTATATCCCTTCTGGGCCGCTAGCTTTACCTGACTTAAGATTCTTAACAGTCTTTTTTACTGTTTCTTCAGATATCTCAACTACTTCTCCATGTACTTCAATATGTCTTGGAGAATCTAATATATATTCCGGTCTGGTTTCTTGTAATAGACCCTTGTAATGTTCTACCCATTGTTCTAGTTTAATAATCTGGATATAAGCTCTGTCTTTTCCTGGGTTTTTGACATTTGATATAAATCTCCATACCTCTGAGCATTTCCTTGCTCCTATGTAGGTGTTAGATTAGATTAGATTAGATTAATATTGGGGTGTTGTTGCACTGCGACCTAAAGATCTGTTGTGCCCCCTGCTGAAGCCGATTTGATGTGGATCTCAAATCATAGTACTTCGTCCAGTCCTATGGCCTTGATGAGGGCTAGTAACTGGTACGGTGTCAAGGATGGTATGTCTCCTTCTAAAACTACATAGTCACCGAGATGTGTAGCCCGGCTTCTAGCGACGGCTTCGCATACGGTTAGTAGGTGTTCTGGAGTTTCTTCCTCCTCCCCGCAAAACCTGCATTCACTGGATCTCTCGAGTAGCATTTTCCAGCGGTGTTCTCGAAGGTGGCAGTGCCCTGTCATAAACCCTGTAAGAATTCTTAGTTTAGTTTTACTTAAATTTACTAGAGCTTTAGATTTTTTGGGATTGAAGTTTTAAAGGAATATCTTAGAGTGTCTCAGTCCCGGAAGGTCGTCCCAGAGGAGAGCTCTTAGGTCGTCTTCCATTTTCTTAAGCTCCGCTGTATAAGTGTTATTACCTATACCGCAAAAAGGCTCTGGTCCTACAAACGGGGAACCGGATCCTTTCTTTGCCAAGGTATTGGCTTCTTCGTTACCTTCTACTCCTGCGTGTCCCCAGGCACCCATAGTAAAGTGACTTTATTTTTCTTTCCTACCTCATGTAGTTTCCCTAGGCAATCCCGTACTATCTTAGAACTGATGACATATGAACTCAGTGCCATTATGGCCGATTGACTGTCGGTGAATATTGCAATATCTTGATTGAGATAGTTCCTGTTCTATATGTAGGTGTTAATTTCTTCACATTTCTTATCCCATGACTCGTTCTTAGCTATAGTGATGCACGTTCTTAGTTGTCTTTTTGTGTCTTTATAAACTTCAAGGTCTTGTTCATTTTTTGTTGTTAGCCATTTCAAATATTTTTGCTTCTTCTGATGGACTAATAGCTCTATCTCCTCGTTCCACCAGTATTTCTTCTTGGTATTTTTTTCCTTCGTTCCTATTGCTTCTTGGGTGGCTTCTATTAGACTCCTTATAATATTCTCATAGAGTTTATTGAAGGTACATTCTTCAGGGTTCAATAGTTTGCTATCGAGTCGCCTCTGATATAGAAATACAGTGCTGTCATCTCTAAAACTGTCAAAATTATAATTTGTTGTATCCACTGTGTCCGTTAGTATGGCATTGGTGTTTTGTTCCTCTGGGTTCTTGTTCGTTTTCCTGAATTGCAACTTTATTTTGGCTCTTACTAAAAAATGATCTGACCCGCAAGTTATTCCTCTTAGGACTCTTACGTCGTTTATCTCTATATTTGTTTTTTGTTTGCTTATCACATAGTCGATAATAGTTTTCAGGATACGGGTATTCTGTATCCATGTGTACCGGTGAATATCTTTGTGTTCGAAAAATCCATTATTTATTCTAAGATTGTGGGTCTCACAGAGATGTATGAGCCTTTGGCCATTATCATTGATTATTTCTTCTCCAAATGGCAAGGAATATTAGATGCAATATAATCAATAGTGGTAAAAGAAGTTTGTGTAACACCTGTGGACTATATGCATGCTCAGGTTAAAAGATTCAAGCAAGCTCATTAATTTTTGAGTTGATCTGTTGTCCTTGTCCTCAAAATCTACGGTTTAATCGCCCGCGAGCACAAGTCTGATGTTTGTAGGAAACTTAGTGAGCACCTCAAGTCTCTCTAAAAAAATGTTGAAGTTGCGCATTTTGGTGATCAATAAATACAGACCCCAAAGCATTTTGACTTTACTAAAGAAATGATTGAAAATTCAAGTTGGCCTTTGACAAGCAATTTATCAAATTTATCGAATACGGAAAACTCCTCACAAATACCATCACTCCCTAACGACAGTACTACCATTTTTTGAGTTTGATCTGCAGAACTTAGAAACCACACAATACCCCCGAACATAGAGCGATTCGTCGGACTTCAACCAATGCTCTGTTAAGAAAACCATACCAGCTAATTTCAAACTTTCTAGAAGGAGGAAAAGGTCGTCGACTTTATTGCGTACTGATTGAATATTTAGGAGCATTGAGTCAAATTAATCTATTCTAGAAAAGTTAAAATTTGAATTGGCTCGTCTAAACATGTCTTTTACAATAGTGCCACCATCATGGATGACTTTAATACATGACAAGGCAAATATGTGCAATACGAAGAGTAGCTATTTGCTAGAATAACAGACAATTGTTTGTCATATGAGTCATGCCAAATATTGAAAAATCCAGTGGTGATTTGTGAATTTTCAATAACCCCATTCTGGTAATAAAAAAAGTAAATTTGCTTTATGCATTAATTTTACCTCGAATTTTACTAAGAAGTCAAAATACATTTTAATAAATATGTAGTCATTAGTCATATTAAAGCATATTATCGAGCATATTATATTGTCTATTAAACAGCATATTTCGTTTTTTGATCTGACGAATATTGAATATTTTCTAAAAAATATATGTAGTCAAAGTCAAAAGTTTACACTGGGGCTATTTCTATGTACGCGAGTGTATGTTGTTTTAATTTATTTTCTTGTTTTATTATTTGATGTTGTCGTTTATAAGTATTTTTTTTTTTTAATTCGATATTTCAACAATTTTGGTAAATTAGTTTCTAGCTAGAATTGGAATGGCCACAATATTCTGGATTCAATTGTTGTTCTTCATTTAAAAACTGAATTCTTTATTACACAATACACATTACTACTGGTGGCGAAGTCACGTGTGAAGGCAAAACTTGTGGTACAAATGATAAAAGGTACCAAACTTTTTCTCTACTCAAATAATTTCAAGCCAATCCGCTAACAAATTCGCAAATATGTTTTGCCAAAACTGTACTTTTCTAGGTTGATAACACAAAAAAATTCTGTAATCATGCCGTCTCGATCCTAAAAAATGATTCTATATGTCACAATACATTCAAAGTTACGTGGCGTTGCAAGCGTATTTAAACTGGTTCTAAATATAAAATAAACGAACATATTGTTTGTAATCAGATAAACCAGAAAGATAAAATGTGAATAACTTCTTTCTGAGAAAGAAATTGTTTCTGCAGAACTTCAAGCCAATAATGAAAATCATCATCTTTATCACAAACTCCTGACCATAGATGGCACAGCTAGACAATTACGCAGATTATGTAAAAATTGTTATAAGAAGATATCAACACTTCGTGGAAGAAAATATGCCCGAACCACAACGAAAAAAGTTAGTACCTATTGCCCCGCTTGTACGGGGTCTCCTCATTTATGTCTGGAATGTTTCAACTCTCTTCACAAATCAGTTGTTCTGTAATTTGAATTTTTTGAATGAAGGAATTATTTATTTTGTATTCATTTATTTTTGATAAATAAACGGACTTTTGTAATACGTTTTTTTTGTTATGAGGTCACATTTTACTTATTTTAGTCTATAAGCTATGACCTACAAGGCACTATACAATACAAGAAAAACATTAGAAGCTTGCCTTTTAACGCTTGTAATTTGACTATTTCATCTTGAAAGTAAATTGATTAAATTTGTCACACTATTCAAGAAGATGTTCTTTGTGAATTGTTGGATTCACTCTTTTAAATTTAGCAGTGACGACAACAGTCTTTAGGTTTGGATTTCCTTTTGTTTGCAGTTAGGGAATTTAATTTAGTTTGACAAGCAATTTGTTCAGTTGTATGCTAGCATTCTTGCGGCAGTGCAGTACTTGGCAATATGTCCAAATGCAGCACATTGGTAGCAAATTTGTATGTTTCGACATCATTTCCTTGTGCTTCTAGAATCCAATTTTCTTCCAATGCATTTCTACAAGTTTTTTTCGCTATTATTTTCATTTTATCCTTGACACAATCAGTTTCTGTTTCTGGATTAAATCCTATCACTTCATCTGTCAAATCTTGCTTGTTGGAAACAACGGGTACAGTTTCAAGTATTTTTTAAAAATCTAGAGAGACCGACACAACATCAACCACCTGCAGAGGCCAACACTGTTCTAAAACGGGGTCGTTGCCGTTACTGCGATCGGAAAAAGAACCGTGCCACCAAATACTTCTGTACCAAGTGTGGAAAATATATGTGTTTGGAACATTGTACTTTCATGTGTAGAGAATGTGTGATAAATGATACTGATTGAATAAAATCTTAGATAACAAAAGTCTTTCATTTATGTATCGTTTAATTAGCATCAACTTTTAATACAAATAAGTACATAAAAGTAGATAAAATACGAAGGTGGATGTTAAACAGCTTCACGCATTTTTGGCCCAGCCACCAAGACATCATTATGAAAAAACATATTGGCGAATATCTAGAAAAAAGGTGGCTTTGATGGTCACATTAATCTCGTGTCACTACAAGAAAATGAGTTTTGTAAAGACTTATGTAAAAGTAACAACTCGATTCAACGAGTGCGATGTGGAGAACCTAGACCTTGCGATTGTTTAACAGTGGAAAATTCTCAAGATTTCAGAGGGAGGCGAAATAGAGCTGCATGTGTTCTGTGATGCCAGCACTGGTTTCAGCAATGACATGTAACAAAAATAGTAGGTAATATTATTAGACTTCAAAAAAATAGCATAATGGTCAAGATTTTCTTTTGTGCTATGATAAAGTAACTTAGGCTAAAAAAGAAGTTTATTAAAAGGGACCTACATCCTACACCCAAAAGTGATGCCGCGGGCCGCATGCTTCTGGCAGCAACTTGAAAAAGTCTAATCCATTTCCAGTTCTTCCTTGGTAAAAAGGATCTGATTGCAAATCACACAATTCCAGTTGAAGGTCTGCGCTGCTCACATTCTCAACTGAAATTGTAAGGGGCTGAGGGAGAACTGAAATCTCTCTTTCGATTTTTTGAAGTCGGTCAATCGATTTTCGAATTATTCTCAATGTATGTTATCTGAGGTAAATTTGGAACTTCCTCAAAATCCTTCATTTCTTCAAAATGCTCTTTACAACTTCGAAAAAATTAAAAACCATTTTTTTCTAATGAAGCTTGAAGAGTCTAATTTTTTTAAGGATTGGAACTGGATTGGACATTTCCAAGTTGCTGCCAGAAGAACGATACCCCAACCTGCGAAACTTAGGGCTTACACTGTGCTCAGTGCTGGGAAGCACGTATCTTTGCCAAAGCAGCTTTTCCAACATGAAATTCATAAAGTCAAAACTAACTCAGCTGCTCCGTTTATCAACAACAAATGTTAAAGTTAATATCGATGCATTAGTAAGTGAGAACCAACATCCTCAAATTTCCCACTAATTTTTTTATAATTTGAATATTTTTGAGTAAATGGAAATATTGCAAACGCGTTTTTTCTTTGTATACCATACTTATTGAAACTCACGGATGAAGCTGCTTCCGAAGTATTTTATAATGCGGCCCTCCAAACCGTATTTTTGTTTAAAGCGGCTCTTGGTGATCTTGAAGTTGGACAGCCCTGGTCTAAATGATTTTCTGAATAAGATCCACTGGATGTGTTTTCAACTTTACTCGACTTTTACTGACATTTCAATAGAGTTCTCGTATTCAATAACTGGTAAGTTTCGAGTGTCATGCTTGTTGAATAACCTGTTGGCGATGACTTAAGATATTGAACATACTTCACAGCAATTTGTGAGCTGAGATCGGCATACCGGTAGAATGTGTATTGTGTTTCAATTATTACAACTATGTCCGCTTTGGTTTAACAAGAGGGATAAGTATCTCCAAATATTAACAATCAATGAAGATACCGGCAGTTTGTATCAGTTGAAAGACACCTGAAGACTGAAATAATACACAATTCTAAGAAAATATGGCATTCAGGTTTAGAAAAATTGATTTATCCACTTTGTTACCTATTCAATGTTGAACGTTTACGTAACTTATTCAATATTCTCGCTCAATAGGGCGCCAATAAAAAACAAGAACTTCTAAATAAATATTTTTGGTTTATTAGGTGCTAGGGCTAAAATTGAGGCTAAAATACAGTACCTACTCAGTATACGAACAAAAGTAAAAGTAGCTATAGTTGAAGTACACAATGAATCTACTAACAACCAGATCCATTCATATGGAAAAGGTGCAGTTATTTTTGTAACCTGAAATGCGCTCTAGAATCTAAGATTACCAATACCTGCGCGGATCAATTAAAATAAAACTCGAAATGGAAAAAAAAATCACGAAGAATCCTGCAGTATAGATCTTCAACAAATAAATCCTCATAAAGCAAGTGAAGAAAATGTTGAAAGATAATGAAAGCGAAACAGAATTTGGACATTATTATCAGCTCATTCGGTCAACTGCTGGACAAAGACCTCTCTCAAGCACCTATATCCAGCTTCCTGCTATTTTCACGAGTTAGGTGTCTTCCTTCATTTTTGAATGCGTCTGATCTGATATCTGGACATAGATCATTGTATTTGAATTATGGATTGTGAAAGAATTTGTAATTTAGAAACCAACGAAATTTGTGTTGTAACTATTCAATTCTACATGCATGTATTGAATAGGAAGATTCCTATTCAAATGAAGCTTACTCTGGATGAAGTCTTACAAGACAACAGTATGAGACACTGCATTTGGAAGTGTTGATTTATATTCCATTTACAAACTCCACATGAGAGTTAAATCATCCTTAAGATCAGCATGGTCAGGAGGGATTTAAATCCCCTTGAACAACTTGAGATTATCAGCGAAAAGGAGAAAATTGATAGATTTGAAGCAAGGCGAGATATTATTCAATAACGGATTTAATACGAGAGGAGCCATATATGAAAACTGGGGCATACCAAAAGGAACTTGCCTAAAATTCTAACCATCTTAGGACATCCGGTAAGGTAACTAGTTGAGTAGTGATCCAGAGGTTTGCACTTTATTGATCCAGATGTTATGGAGAACAGGATCAAAGGCTATATACTATAGAGAAATATGTATAATAAGTATTTTTTTCCAACAGGGCCAGATGCCCAATTACAAGAAAATCCATAATCAATCAAAAGTCAATGTCTGTATATTATAGATGGAATAGATTTCAGAACTTTTTTCCCGGAGCCTCAGATCATATGGCTCATCAATAACTGAGGAATACAAACAGTTACGAGATTTTCAAAAACTTTGCTTATAGAACGCCATTATGGTCTATCCCCAAGCCTTGTGGATATAGGTACCCCAAAGTTAGTTTTCCAGAAATGAGGAATGTAACCTTGACTTAAAGAATGTGTTTGAAATAAAGGAACAAATTCTGGCAATGTGGTGTGAATATTATCCAGTCCAGGACCTTTGTAATGTAAACTGTCCAGAGCTGAAAAATTCTCAGAAACTGAATTGAATTAGAGTGATTGACAATTGAATACTAAACACTGAATTTTTTAATAATGGATATGACTCGTATGTCCCCTCTATTGTTTCTGGTGAGATGTTAAACCACTCTTCTTTTACTGCAAAAATAAGCTCGCGGGTCGAGGTTGGGGTACGAAGCATAGCTCGAAATCTTTGTTCAAGCTTATCAAATAATTGTGCGATCCGAATTAGGTCGAGACTGCATGCTGGCCACTCTATAACCAGAACTGAAACTCTGGTATCTCAAGAGAATTTCCATTATTAATAAAAACAGTGTATGGACTCTATAATGTCAATGTCAGTTGAAAAAGTTATAATGATGAATCGATCCACTCCACTCGACTTGTATTATTATTATTTTTAGTATAAGTATGGTACACTCAAAATATTGAGAAAAAGTAACTTTTCTTGTAGAAAGCGAAATGGCATCGCATATAAATTCTATAGGTCTATAGAGTCGATTTGACCCGAAGCACAGTGACCTTTGACCATGTGGAATGGCTGCCTTGTTTTAAAAAAACGAACAATAAGAATAAAATGACTTAAAATGTATTTGTTTGGAGTTGTTTTCGGATGAAGGAAGCACTCTAAAACGAATGGAAGAATAAATAACTCTTTATGTTTTGTCCTTTGAACCCTGAGGTTGAAATTTTGTGAAAAAAAAAACCATTCTGGTGTCGAATAGGTACCTACTACTATTACTATATTACCAATAATTCTCAATCGCGGATCTTAAGACTTTGAAGAATGAAAAAGTGTGACACATTTAATGACGATACATATTTCTTTATTGTCACGAGATCCGCAAGTTGATTCTCAGATGAAAGTTTTTCATCTTTTATTCGGCCATCTTATACCCGCTCACGGACAGAAAAGTGCGTGATGTGAATGTGTTCGGTTCGTCCATGGCACTTAGGATTCTGGGTCAATCTATTTGCAGCTTCGTTGTTAACTTTCAGCACTGGAATTGACTTTTAGACCTTAAGTCCGGAATTTCATCAAACAAGCGTTTTATCCACCCAACTTCCTTAGCAGCTTCGCTAGCCGCCAATATTTCCGCTTCATTCGTTTGATATGGCAACTTATGTCCGTCTCTGGCTTAGCCACGCCACGTGATTACCCCATTAG